GGGGGGCGCCCCCCCCGGCCCCCCCCCGCTAGCGGCGGACGGGGTGGGGGAGCAGAAAAGCGGCGCGGTGGACTCAGCCGTGCTGAGCGCGCAACCGCCCGGTGTTACGCCGCGGCACGGACAGATGCCTGAGGAGGGCGCCTACGTAACGAGCGCGCCGGGGGCGGCCGCTGACGGCACGGCCGCGCTGGGGCGTGGCAGTGAGGAGGAAGGGCGCCCCGGAAACGGGGCATAAAAGGGAGACCGGGGAAGACATGGGGAGGGGGCCCGGAGCAGGGAGACGGGCGACCGGAGGAGACTGGAGGGGGAGCAACCCGCGCACGGCGGAGGAACGCGGGCAGACAGGAGGGGCGAAGGAAGCGCACGCCGAGGGTGCGGCGCGGAGGGAAGGTACGGGAGGGGCCGAGCCCGGCCCGTAAAGGGGGAGGGGCGGAGTGTCTTGGGCCCAGGGTGGGCTGTGGAACCCGTGAGCAGGCGAGTTTGGGGGCACATACCCCGTCTGCTTCCGCAGAGCGTGATACGCTCAGCGTTAGGGCCCTGGGTCGGGGTCCGGAGAGAGGGTGGGCCCGGACCCCCACTCTGCGCGTATAGGGGCAAACGCATCAGTCGCCAACGGGGGCGACCCGGGATATGTGGTGGAGAATGTGGGCAGACGGTCAGGTACCGTGACAAAGGGCCCGCTAAGTGAGACTCGTCCCCACCCGGTGGGGCCGTTTTTTTTTCTTTTTTTTCTCTCTATCTTGCCTTCCCTTGCCTCTTACAAGAAGAGGGGATAGCAACCATGGAGGCGGATAAAGTGGTGGAGTGGTTGGTGGACAGCCAACAGCAGCTGCAAAAGCAGCAAACTGAGGTGTTGCAGCAGTTGACGTCCAAGTTCTGGGAGCAACAACGGCAGTTGGTACGGGAACTGAGGGGCGGCGCGAACACGATGGGACCCACGGCCGATGGGGACGACGACGGGACGGTGAGCTCGCGCCTCCCCATTAGATTAGCCAAGCTAGGGCCAGAGGACGATGCTGAGGCGTTTCTGGTGACGTTCGAGCGGGTGGCGGCAGCGGCGCATTGGCCCCAAGAACACTGGGCGACGATCCTAGCCCCTTACCTATCAGGCCCAGCACAGCTGGCCTATAGGGGCCTGTCGGACCGGGACTCTTTGTGCTACTATAAAGTGAAAGAGGCCATACTAGACCAACTCGGCATTTCGCCAGAGACCTACCGGCAGAGGTTCCGACCCGCCAAATACGTGGCCGGAGAGCGCCCTAGGGCAGTTGCCCAGTGGGTCAGAGAGATGGGGATGCGCTGGCTGGAGCCCACCACTAAGACCGCGACCCAGGTCTGTCGGACCGGGACTCTTTGTGCTACTATAAAGTGAAAGAGGCCATACTAGACCAACTCGGCATTTCGCCAGAGACCTACCGGCAGAGGTTCCGACCCGCCAAATACGTGGCCGGAGAGCGCCCTAGGGCAGTTGCCCAGTGGGTCAGAGAGATGGGGATGCGCTGGCTGGAGCCCACCACTAAGACCGCGACCCAGGTGGCCGAGCTGGTGGGACTAGAGCAATACCTGCAGGGGCTACCGACAGACGGCCAGCCTGCCGGGAACCATGAAGGAAGCAGTGACTCTAATGGAACACTTTTTAGCCGCAGAAGGGGGGGAAGGCCGTGGCAAAGGGACTAGCCCGGTGGGGCGGGGGGGGGCCCTACCCCTCGGGAGAAGGAAGGATGGGATCGCGGGGAGCCGGGCCCAAGGAACCCCCCGGGACGGACCCCAGAACAGCAGCTGGCCCCCGTATGGCGCAACCCAGAGAAGAAGGAGAACTGCAGCGACGAAGAGAAGAATCAGGACGGTAGGAGTGCCCCACCATCACGAACTGCGTGTTTCCAATGCGGACAGGAGGGCCATTTTCG